TACTCTCAGCGACCGTCGTGCCAGTGTATCGATCTCGAGGGCTTTTATTTCAGGCGAGTGTCCCGACCACGGGAAACAATAGCTGGCCCATCAGTGATTTTGTTTAGACAATTAGAATAAGTGCCCTCACGACTCGTCGAGATCAACGCCTCGCTTTCAATCTGGGTCTCGTGTGGAGGGGGGGGGGGTGACCTTTGAACAAAAGAACATCTCTGTGGGGGTTTTGTAAAACGAAAAGGGTCATGGAAATTTAGATAGGGAACGGGATTGGTGACAAATTATATGGAAATTACAGGGGAATTGTTAATATTACTCCATTGTTTTAAACAGGATATGGTTACACGGAAGTATCTTTCAATGTTTTTATACACGCTCTATACGGAAGATGAAAGGATAAGCGTGCATCGCATGTGTCCAAAAAAAGCTTGTAACATGTCTGTCCACTGCCTGTCTCCAACAACGGATTGTCAAATTTGTGGTCAGCGCTATGTCCAGCGTATTAAACTTTCCAAAGTCCATACAAGTAGGCCTACTCGTCCAATCTGGTTTGGGCCAAGAACATCTAAATGCGGCTGTAGTTCTAGAACCAAAATCGACAAATAAGGCTCAGGCACCTAGCAGTTGTGTACTCTACCGCTTGACCACGCCGTCCCACTTTATTTTATACGCCCTCAGATTTCCTCCCCTCCCTTTTCAACACGCCACTCACTAGGGCTGCAACCCCATCCACGAGACAGGGTTCAACAATAACTCGACACTCACTCGGCTCGTTACCTGATTACCCCAACCATCTTCCCTCCGTCAACAATACCTGGGATTCTACCTGTCCATGCTGCACTCCGCGCCAGCCAACGATGCACCTGTGCACGTAAGCTCACCTGGATTTGTATTTTTATCCGTGATGTAACGCTGACCACGAGACCTCTTTCTGCCCCAGGTGAACCAAACTATCAAATTACTTTTCCTCGAGTTTAGTACCCCCCCCCTTACACACACTACCCTCACATAAAAAAGCCCTCGATCAGCATACGCTCGCTGTTTATTCTCATTCAATGCCGCGCATTCCGCGAGTCCCAAAAAACACCTCACCGTGAAGACATGATTGCGCTAGCTCTAAACTTATCCCCCAGAACTTAATCCGTCCACCCCTGGACGTCCACTCTAGCCCGCGCCCATAAAACCAGGCCTAATATCCCACGCCATATTAAAAGCTACTTTGTCCGACTGCGGTCCATTCATAAACGGAAATTCTCAGAGGACCCAAAAAATGCGATACTACCATACCCCCCCCCCCCTCTCCAGTAGCAGGGAGATAAACTTTAAGACCATTGGTACATTCCTGAGGGTTATCTTTCAGACAAGTGCCCCCCCCCCCGGACCCTGGATACCTGTATTGTATTCATACGCTCCCTAGTACCCATAATAATCTAACACTGTACGGTACCTTAAGGTATTCGCCTTTAAACGCTTTACAAATAAAAAGAGGGATTTCCTGGATAATAAATATCAGCGATAAAGAATGCCCCCCCCCCCTGCTATGATATATTAAAGATTACTACAAAAGAGTTTTAAAAATGTTTTTTATTATGTGTCATGGTTAGAAATATGCTAGCTTTGTGAGCATATACCTCGTCTTTTGTATAAGCGTTGTTGGCCTTGGGATCACGATATAAGAGGTCAAAGGTTTAAATGGATATTCTTTCAACGCCAGCTTTGATCTAATGCTAGGGTAGACATCGAATGTGGTGATGTGGTCAAGAGGTGGTGGGTGGTGGTGGTGGGTGGTGGGTGGTGGTGGGGGTGTCATGTGGTGGTGTTGGGTGGTGGGGGTGTTATGTGGTGATGTTGGGTGGTGGGGGTGGGTGTCATGGGGTGGTGTTTGGGGAAGGGGTGTCATTGGTGTCATATGGTCAAGGGGTGTTGGGTCCTGAGGGGTGTCATGTGGTCAAATGGTGTTAGGGGAAGGGGTGTCACACGGTCAACCAGAATACCATTACCCTCCGGTGAAGATCGATTCTTTTAGAGTATCACATAGCCATCCCATACTATCATTGTATCAGTCACCCCATACTATCACTGTATCACAAATTCACCCTTTAATACCATTGTATCACATAGTCACTCCATACTATCATTGTATCACATAGTCACCCTTTAATACCATTGTATCACATAGTCAACCCTCACTATCATTTCTCCCGAGTAACGACCGGGTCCTTAAGTGTATCACATACACAAGACATACACATAAAATCCATTTACATATATATGAAGCTTTTGAATACAATTGTTATTTTATGTAAATTTCCCCCCAAGAAAAAGGGTCGTCTATTCACTGTTAACACTGGCGCTCGTACATTAGACGGAGACACGAGAAAAGTTATCTGCCCTTGAAGAATTCACTTACGTCGTTACGGGTCATAAAGCGGGTCACAATTCCGTCTATTGATACACATAATGGCTCGGTAAGTTGGCTGTTCTAACAAACGGAAGTAGCGAGTAGCGGTAGGTTAGCGAGTAGCAGTAAGTTAGCGAGTAGTGGTAGGTTGGCTGTTCTAACAAACGGAAGTAGCGAGTAGCAGTAAGTTGGCTGTTCTAACAAACGGAAGTAGCGAGTAGCAGTAAGTTGGCTGTTCTAACAAACGGAAGTAGCGAGTAGCAGTAAGTTGGCGAGTAGCAGTAAGTTGGCGAGTAGTGGTAGGTTGGCTGTTCTAACAAACGGAAGTAGCGAGTAGCAGTAAGTTGGCTGTTCTAACAAACGGAAGTAGCGAGTAGCAGTAAGTTGGCTGTTCTAACAAACGGAAGTAGCGAGTAGCAGTAAGTTGGCTGTTCTAACAAACGGAAGTAGCGAGTAGCAGTAAGTTGGCGAGTAGCAGTAAGTTGGCGAGTAGCAGTAAGTTGGCGAGTAGCAGTAAGTTGGCGAGTAGCAGTAAGTTAGCGAGTAGCAGTAAGTTAGCGAGTAGCAGTAAGTTAGCAAGTAGCAGTAAGGTTGCAGTAAGTTAGCGAGTAGCAGTAAGTTAGCGAGTAGCAGTAAGTTAGCGAGTAGCGGTAGGGAAAAAAAGGACACTAAAATTCTTTCCGATGATAAGACCTGTCAGTCGGATAGACGGAGCAAAATTATGACTCTCGCTTGACTTGAAGAAAAATGGCGGCACATTTTTTTTTTACTGAGGTCATACAAGGTCACAGCCAGCACGAAGCAAAAGACATTATTAAAAGCGTGCAAATAAGCGGGTTTAACTATAGATTTAGTAGCTAAAGGCGCCTTGTTGGTGAAATGGACTCTCATATTACAGGTGAAATTATTATAAAATTGTTCGATAAAACAAATAAATAAATAAATAATTTAATAGTTTAAATAATTTCGTTGGGTTATCAATAACAACAATAACATCTGCTTAGTTTGGGTGGTAAATAGGAAGGTATGGCGAAATGTCTGGGTGGTAAATAAATAGCTACTGTGATATGGAAAAGGTAAATAGAACGTCATTTAATTCCGGACCGCAAATCTTTTAAAGTAGAATCAAATAAATGCTACAAAATATATGTGTAATATTCCAGTAAACACACTCTCGCTTATCACCGGGTAGACGTTCTAGACTAGTATTCTACAGAACGCGCAACAGAAGTTGACACTGACTCGAGATTGAATAGAAGTGGGACGCTACTGGTTGATTGAAACTGGTCACCCCCGGGTATACCAGGGGTCAGGCGGAGTCAGTATGATAGACAGTTCACATCGCCCTAGACTTGCAGGCTGAAAATACGCTTCCTTTTCAATCCCATTATCTAGATGTGGGACAGTGCTCGCGTTTTTCACACGTGAAACCAAGTCACGAGCGCTTCGTCGAGGATTAAAAAGTACATTAAAAATGTAATAGATAGTCAGTTTAAAGAAAAAAAACATAGCTATTTAAGTCACGTCTGAAAAATAAAAAAGAAATTTTCTATAAATTGAATAAAATAAAAATTGTAGAAATTTTTTTTTATATAATTAATTTGAAATACGTTCCCATTTCAGACTTAAACACTCTTGTATAATGAATAAGGAATATTACTAGACAACATTTTTTACCCTAAAACTACCTATACTGTTGTTTTCGCCTGGAGCAGTTACTAAAGAGGATGGAAAACGGTGAAAAAGCTGAGGCGCCATAAAATGTACAAATTAGTCACCCGAAAATATTTCAAGCTCTAATGGCCCTAATGTACTTTTCACGACATTCTCAAAAGGACAAAAATAAAACAAAAGGAAATTAACCTAATTCATCATAGGCGGGACCATTCACAATTTTAGAACATCTTTGAAGTACAGTAACGTATGGGGTTAGGCCCTAACAACAGACACTAAAAAATGGGGGGGGGGGGGGGGGGGGGCAAACAAAAGGTGAGAGTTTTTATATTACAGATGAAACACAGACGAAGAGAATGTTAAAGGGACGACACTCATCACTTTGTAGGACAACTCAGGAGGAAAATTACAAGAGCATTTGTTTTTCCTGGGATAATAATGCGATCTGTCACTGTAATGAACGTGTACTTCATAATGCCCCAAAGAGATGTTACCTCCCATGCCTCGACAATAATGTTATATGCACCCCCTTCGACGTGTGTATAATTAAAAGGAAATTACAATAAGTTACATTACACCTGCAACAAAATTTATGTTCCACCTGTAAAAAATGTGGGACAAAATTTATATTTCAGCTTTGAAATATGTGGAATAAAATTTATATTCCAGCTTTGAAATATGTGGAATAAAATTTATATTCCAGCTTTGAAATATGTGGAATAAAATTTATATTCCAGCTTTGAAATATGTGGAATAAAATTTATATTCCAGCTTTGAAATATGTGTAATAAAATTTATATTCCAGCTTTGAAATATGTGGAATAAAATTTATATTCCAGCTTTGAAATATGTGTAATAAAATTTATATTTCAACTGTGAAGTATGTGAAATAAAATGTATATTCCACCTGTGTGAAAGAGGGCCTTACCTTTGTACAAGTTTAAGCTCATCGTAATCCGGTCTTTAAGTTTCTGGTTGATGGCCCGGATCTGTGTGCGGAGGTGGTTCCCTGAGGCCAGGAGGAAAGTCTCCTCCATGGCCAGGGTGCAACAGGTGGAACCGTTCTCTAGCCGTTGGGAGTGGGCACAGGCAGATAGCAGGGGCTCTGTGGAGACACAAATAATGGGTTAAACAGTGGGAATGTAATGGGTTAAACATAGTGGGAAAATAGGAGTTAAACATAGTGGGAAAATGTCAGTTAATCTGTGGGAATGTAATGGGTTAAACATAGTGGGGAAAATGATGAAAAACCTTACAATGTATAGGTCGGAAATTTAAAGACGAGAACTCTGGTTATATAAAGGCCAGTGGTTATGTGGCGTTGGTTAAAAGGTTTGTAAGCCTGAAGGGTTCGAGGTTCAACCGGAATCGGATCCGTGGAGTAGATCCGGTCTAATGAATGAACCCGGTGCAGAATGGTTACGTTGGTGTCCTAGTTCGGAAAGTTCTGCTGTGTACTGATCGCACGGATGACCTTTAACGCCCTTGTCAAGGACACACGTGGACTTTTAAATCAGCTAACGTAACAGACGACACCTAACACCAGGTGTTTGCGGAATTATGGTATGTCCACAGCATATAAAGAGGCTGTGGTCAAGACCAGACACAGCTGCCTGCATTTGTCATCAGGGTAGAGCTCATTAGATTTGTGGGGTCACCCGCAGTTAACGTGTTAAACTGGGTTTCGAACTCGAGACTTCTAGTTTAATTCGGCACTATCGATACATTTAAATGTGTGTGTGTGTGTGTGTGTGTGTGTGTGTGTGTATATAGAGCAGGAAATTAGAGCACCATCATATGGTCTTTAAAAACGATGCACGTGGTGTTTTCGACCATTGTATATTACTACGTCTGCTCCCACACACGCCAAGTCCTTAAGATACAGGATGCCTTCTTTTTTAAAAAAAAAACATGGCATCCAGTTCAACGCCCACTTCAAACTCAATTGACTATCACAGCGCGTGATTTATGCCTTTCACCTCCCCCCAACTAAACCACCCACGGGATATTAGTGCGCTGGTAGCTCAGGGAACATTCTTGCTCTCGCCCGACTTTCGTTATCTCCAGGATAAACAAATTCATTAGCCGAGTGAGTTAAAAAAAATAATAAGCCTCTATTTCGATTTTTTTAAATTTTGTTTAACCCAAACTTTTGGTAAATCGAACCTATACATATTGCTAGATTTATTTTGTTAAAAGTATTTTTAAAAACAGTTTTGCTTTTCAGTTTACAACAAAATAAACCTTAATCAGGTCAGGTCTTATTTATATTTTGACTCAGCTTTTTCCCCAACTCTAACCTTAACCCAAATAACTCTATTTTTAGCCCTAACAACACCAGGAAGCACGCGTTAGCTAACGACACCTTTATGAATATTAATCACGGCGTAGATCTAATTAGCATCCGCGTCCAAAGTCCAGCGAACCTCGGGCCGACACAAAACCCTCGCCAGCGACTATAAACAAAGCCAGTCAAACATGAATGAATGCGATCGACGTCATAGCACAGACGTAAAAACCTTGAGCCTATGTAAATGACGTATGCGACGTCACGAGCATCAGCTAATGGCTATCACAAGTGGATGCGTCACAACTGTTTTTTCCCGTGTACTAGAATAGCTATTGTCTTTCTCATCAGCTCTTATATAAGCAGTAAAAAAAAATGAATCAGATATTGAATGTTTCAAATGGCTGGTTGTTTTGGGTTTTTTGTTTGTTTCAAATTATTGCCGATTTCAGAAGAGAAAACCTAAAGTGTCACATATATTGCTGCTAGAATATTTAATGAAGTTGTACATGACGGTCGCCATGTTTTAATATTTTGGCAACTGTCTCCTGTTCTATTTAAATAGGTCTCACATACTATAAAGTTAATGTTACTTATCACATATATACAGATACAAACTGCATTTGTTCCGAGATGGAGATTTAGCAAAAACTAACTTGTAGAGAGAGAGCTTGAAAACTTGATCATTGATGTAAGAAAAACATGTGAGGATACTGCGAGCATTAGCGAGGGTAATGCTATTAACAGGTGATTTCCAGGCTGGGATTAATAATTAATAGAAGTTGTTTCTTGTTTGAGATGAGATTATAGGTTGGTGTGGGGGGGGGGGGGGGGGAGTGTATGGGTTGAGGACTGTATGGGTTGGGGAGTGTATGGGTTGGGGAGTGTATGGGTTGGGGAGTGTATGGGTTGGGGAGTGTATGGGTTGGGGAGTGTATGGGTTGGGGAGTGTATGGGTTGGGGAGTGTATGGGTTGGGGAGTGTATGGGTTAGGGAGTGTATGGGTTGGGGAATGTATGGGTTGGGGAGTGTATGGGTTGGGGAGTGTATGGGTTGGGGAGTGTATGGGTTGGGGAGTGTATGGGTTGGGGTGTGTATGGGTTGGGGAGTGTATGGGTTGGGGAGTGTATGGAGGGTGGAAAAGATTGGAGATATTATGGTACGGGGGTGGGAGACTCAGCTCCTCCCCCACCCCACACACCATCATCTACACCACACCAGTATTTTTTTCATTGTGTTTATTTCACAATAATGAAAGTAGACCGAATTAGAAGAGTAGGTTATAACCAATGATTCTCGTTACTATGACAACTACTAAGTGAGATCGTAATTAGAAACGACGCCTCAGTGTGAAACCACGGATCTTACGTGGATGAAAGCATGAATGAAAGGCTATAAATAGAAAGAAAGGTATAGAAATAAAAAAAAAATAATGGGTACAGAAAATACGAGAGAAAAACATGAATGAAGACGTCATTGTGTGCACGTGATTTAGGGGAGTAAAAAACCGAGACCCGACTCGAGATATTTAAATAACGTGAGAACACGACACAATCATAATGGAAGGCACCTGTCTGACACCTGCTGTCATGGAAGACATTTTTTTTTAAAATTATAAATTGTGGTATGGAGGTATTAATCAGGATTTAGAATACTAAAATTGTGGTAGACAATGACTTGTTGTTCAGCGTGTTAGTTATGCGGCCGGCGGTGATTTTTATCTTTGTCGGCCTCAAACAATGGAGGGGGGGGGGGGGGGGGGTTGCACTGAATGGATTATATGACAGAATAAACTAATCCACCTGCATTAAAAAAAACCTAGACCTGCTTACTATTCTATTAACTCTAGCCAGAGTATTTTTAAACACATAAATCACTCTTTTGATAAACTTTGTCTGCAGTTTAAAAAATGTTTTTACCTGTAACTTGGATCTAAAATATAAATGATGGATGGTTCTCAGACTACGTTGTAAGAAACAAATTCTACAACGAAAAAAAAAAAATTGAAAAATTTAGCTCGGCCAAGCAGGACGGTTAAAAAAAATCATTTAACACCTATAGCCATGGTCCGGTGATCAAAGATGAAAAACGTTCTTTGTTGTAAAAAGAAGCCACCTCACCCCCACCCGTTCCCCCCTGCGGTGAATCAGACATATTCAGGGAATAAAAAGAAAGCAATACACTATCAGATACACAGAACCTTGGATAGATACACCCGCAGATAAAGATGCCACGCGCGCTGGCTGGGCCTTATAACGCGGCCGTAAAACCAAGATGAAACGACTCATCAATATTACATACATTTTTATGTCCACTCCTCGTTCGGGACGGCACACGAGTGAAATCGATGGACTAAGCAGCAATCAATAAGACAAGGACTTAGCCGCGCATTAATATAACATTAATGTCATTATTATTAATATCTAATACAGCCCTCCCACCGGTCGAATGCATGGGAACATGCAATTTTCATTAAGAAAAAAATGTTAATTTTTTTTATTTTCTTTAAAGATGAAAATAGAAAAAAGCGATAATGGCAATGGCTAAAAAAATAAGCACTTTGTACTTTACGCGTCCATTCTACCATACACTAATGAAAACGAAATAACAAAGCAGCACTTTTATAAACGACAAGATTTGCGCGTTTTTTTTTTTTTTGTATTGATTGTTTTAAAGAAAATCGGAAACTCCCCATCTCTGTAGGTCTTGTAAACAAACAAAACCCACATGGTCAAGGTATGACCACCACCCTACCTGCTGAATCAATGGTTTGTGATCCAAGTTTGAACAGGTAAATTTTGTGACTGTTACTTTTGTAGATCAATTGCAAGTCGGTTAATTATGATAATTAATGTTAATAAAACAAATTAAGTAGAACATACAATAAGATTTAACTTTTCTTACTATGCTTCACGTGGAATATATTTAAAGTAAAACTTATATAAATGTAAGTACGTTCATTAACCTGAAACTGGATCGGTTTAAACATCACCCCCCCCCCCCCCCCCCAAATACACACACATTACTTTTATCTTTCAAATTACTGTTTATAGCACAAGCTAAATTTAAAACTGAAGCCATTTCAATATTCCAAGTTAAGAAACTTCTATAATACAAATTTATATTGTAACGATACCGATCTAATAAATCCTCTTTCAGCTTTCTATAGCAGGTTAAAAAAAATAAAGATGCCTTTCACATTTTTTTTCTTAAAGTGCACGGTTCAAAGCCCAGCCTTAATAATTTAAGATATTTTGAGTTTTTAAAAAAAAAATGTAATTGTTTCCCCTTGTGCCCTTGGGCTTTCAATCAATGTTATAACTCCGTGGAGAAAATATTTGTCGTCTGCTCAAAGTTACAGGCGCGGGAAGTTTTGGCTCATATGTCATCATCAGCCTACAACAAAATGTCGACTTTTATACATTGTAATACAGCGGAAGAAAATATATCGATTTTAGGGAAATCGATATCTGCTGTGGGGGAGATATTTTTAGAAGTGAATTAATTCCTTCGTGCGTGTCCAGAATTTTACGACAGGAGAGTTAAACAAAATGGACAAGCTTGTAACAGGTGATGTAGGTGTGGAGTACCAGGTAATTTTACTGTACTTGTACAAGGTAATGTATGTGTACATGTACAAGGTAATGTAAGTGTACATCTAAGAGGTAACTGGTGGTGTACGTGTACCTGGTAATATTAGTGTACATGTACAAGGTAATGTTAGTGTAAATGTAAAGGTAATGTTAGTGTAAATGTAAAGGTAATGTTAGTGTACATCTAAGAGGTAACTGGTGGTGTACGTGTACCGGGTAATTTTA